TCAGTAGGTTGTCAAGCTGTCAAGCTTTCTTACAACTACAATACCCACCTGCAGAAGTAAAGAAACAGATTGATAGAGCCAGAAGAGTTCCCAGAAGTTACCTACTACAGGACAGGCCTAACAAAGAAAATAACAGAACGCCACTAGCGGTCACCTTCAGCCCCCAACTAAAACCCCTCCAACGCATTATTAAGGATCTACAACCTATCCTAAAGGATGACCCAACACTCTCACAAGTCTTGGGAGACAGGTCAGTCCTTGCCTACAGACAGCCCCGCAACCTGAAGCAAATACTCACCAACAACCACATACCACACAACAGAACCACTAACCCAGGAACCTATCCTTGCAACAAAGCCCGTTGCCAACTGTGCCCACATATCTATTCAGGGGACACCATCACAGGGCCTAATAACATCAGCCACACTATCAGAGGCTCGTTCACCTGCACATCCACCAATGTGATATATGCCATCATGTGCCAGCAATGCCCCTCTGCCATGTACATTGGTCAAACTGGACAGTCTCTACGTAAAAGAATAAATGGACACAAATCAGATGTCAAGAATTATAACATTCATAAACCAGTCGGAGAACACTTCAATCTCTCTGGTCACGCCATCACAGACATGAAGGTCGCTATCTTAAAACAAAAAAACTTCAAATCCAGACTCCAGCGAGAAACTGCTGAATTGGAATTCATTTGCAAATTGGATACTATTAATTTAGGCTTAAATAGAGACTGGGAGTGGCTAAGTCATTATGCAAGGTAGCCTGTTTCCTCTTGTTTTTTCCTACCCCCCCCCCCAGATGTTCTGGTTTAACTTGGATTTAAACTTGGAGAGTGGTCAGTTTAGATGAGCTATTACCAGCAGGAGAGTGAGTTTGTGTGTGTATGGGGGTGGGGGGGGATGTGAGAAAACCTGGATTTATGCAGGAAATAGCCCGACTTGATTATGTAAAGAGTTGTCACTTTGGATGGGCTAGCACCAGCAGGAGAGTGAATTTGTGTGGGGGGGGTGGAGGGTGAGAAAACCTGGATTTGTGCTGGAAATGGCCCACCTGATGATCACTTTAGATAAGCTATTACCAGCAGGACAGTGGGGTGGGAGGAGGTATTGTTTCATGATCTCTGTGTGTATATAAAGTCTGCTGCAGTTTCCACGGTATACATTTGATGAAGTGAGCTGTAGCTCACGAAAGCTCATGCTCAAATAAATTGGTTAGTCTCTAAGGTGCCACAAGTACTCCTTTTCTTTTTGCGAATACAGACTAACACGGCTGTTACTCTGATACCACAGTTAGTAGTTCTGCAATTTCATATTTGAGTTCTTTGAGAACACCGAATATACCTGGCATGATTTGTTTGTTGGAAACCCATTTCGTTATCCACTAGATGTGCTTACAGATTTCTTTTCTCTTAATATTTGGTCCCTGAAAGTTTGAAATTAAACTTTAAAAGATGATAATTGCCAGAATCATTCTGTTTTCCTATTTTGAAGGTTGGTACCACATTTGTTTTTCTCCAACACCCTGTTATCTCCTCAGTTCCCTGCTTCAGAGAAAAGTGCAAGAATCCAGAGGTGGGAAGTTATGGATTAACCTGTCCATGAAGGAATTTTCTTCCTAATCCTCTCAGTTAGAGGTGTGAAAATGTGCTTACGTGTTTGTGCAACAATGTGGGGAGTGCAACTGTGTGTGCTTGCGGTAGGGCATGTGAATATGTTTATATGTATTGAACATATGAACAATTTAAAGCATATTTTCTCATTCCTTAGAGATGGGATCTGAGGTTTCGGCCTAACATTTCCCCCACAAGTCTGGCTCTGAATCCAGATTTTATGGCTCGGGTCCGAACTCAGGATCCCAATACCCCTGAACTTTGGAATCCTGGACCATAACTTAGTGGACGTAGCTTTTCCTGAGTTTACTGAGCCCGTGTCTGAGGTGACTGACTCCACCTTGGTATGTTGTGGGTTGTTGCCCTTATTTTGGGGATCGCAAGCTGTGCTTCTTTTATCAGCAGTGGATCCTGCAGGGAATGGCCCTGAGCCTGCTGGTGTTTCCCCACACCACACTCTGGTTTGCACATGGTCACAAGGGCCTTTCTGTTTTGGTGCAAAACAAGCATTTTTTGGAGTGTAGCCTTGCTGATGAAAAAAGAAAATGATGTACTTTTTTTTTTTTTTGGTAAAGACACACCCTATGGAACACTGAGGCTGAAGTGCTACTTTCCTATTGGTTACTGAACCTGCCAGTGATTCCCAGGGAGCAATGAATTCTGGTAACAGAACCCTGTATCCATGGTAACATGTGACTGAAACTTTCCAGCAGAAGGTAATTTCTTTGATTTTTTTTTTTAAATCCTTTGATGTATTTCCCTGGAATGACCCATGGCACAGCCACTCAATGACTGGCAGGGAGGGAGGCTGGTCAGGGCTCAAGCCTGGAACCTGGAAGACGTGAGTTCAATTCCCTGCCCATGTGGGACCTGGGGTGTTGTCTCTTAGGTGCCTAAGTCCCAGGCTTAGGCTGCACCGTGATCCACAAAACTGCTGCAGGCACCTGCATTCCTGCCTCTAGACAGGTGCACTGCTGCCTCCTTCTGAGCCTCTGGACACCTGGGTTCAGCCCAAGCTAGGGGACGATAGGGCCCAGGCTGATAGGCGTGCTCAGAGGCTGCCTGCCAGATCGGGTCCCCTTCAAAATCTGAAACCCTTCTCAGTTTCAGCCCAGTGGTTACTGTGCTCGTTTCGGATGTGGGAGGTTCAATTCCTCCCCTCTGCCTGAGGGGGAGAAAGGCTTTGAACAGGGATCTCCCCCCTTTCAGGAAAGCGCTCTAACCACTGAGCTAGGGAATATTCTGATGTGGGGCTCTCTGTCTTTCCCGTTGAAGCTGCTTCACTGGGGATAACGAGTGATTGGAGTAGGCGGACTGGACCCTGCGTCTCCTGCCTCCCGGGGGCTGCCCTCACCACCAGGCTCGAGTCATTCTCTCTGTCGCTCTCTGGCCCAATGACTGTTCTACCGTGGATAAATACGTACATGGTCATGGAGGAGGGGAGAGCTTTAACCACTGGACACCTCCTGTGTAGAACAAGGCAGGTGCCTAACTCATTCCCATAAGAAACTACTTAGGCTCCTAAACTGCCTGACTCCCGGCAATGGGTTCCCATTCCTGGATCGCTAAGCAGAGATAGGCACCTCCCTGCCACCTCCTCTTGGGAGCCTTCCTCCAGGAGATGGGCAGGGCTTAGTGCACACCCCTCTCGTCAGCATCTCCCCAGAGCTAGTGTAGGCGGCCCCCCACCTAGCGAGGGTGACCAGACGTCCCAGTAAAATTGGGACTGTCTCGATTTTTACATCTTTGTCTGATGCACGGTTGGGACGCCATTTGTCCCGATATTGCAGCTTTGGCTGCTCCGGTGTGTTTGTTTTTATTTATTTTTATTTTGCTTCGGCAACTCTGGCCGCTTTTTTTTTTCCTTCCCCCATGTGCCCCGATATTTTCTCCATTAAATCTGGTCATCCTACCATTTAGCAGGCTGGCTTTTGTGGATCGTGTTCTAAGGCCTCCCTCCCCATACATTATACGGGGCACCGAGGTGCTGAACTCGGGCTTTGTGAATCACAGTTCCTGGGATTTTCTGGGCTCCTCAGCATGGCAACACCTCAATCCCTTTGTGAATCCGGGCCTTGGTCTCTCTGCCTCAGTTCCCCAACCGTGCAATGACCCTCCCCTACCTCACAGGGACCGTGTGAGCTGCTCAGATATATGGCCCCTATGACCACAGCAAGTACCTGTGATAGAGTGACGGCTCACCCTGGGTCATCGCTCACCTACCTGGTAGAGAAGCATTAAAACCCCCTCCCTACTAGTCAATATTGAAAAAAACAAACACCCCAAGCAGCTTCACAGAATGGCAACATGTGAAAATGACCAGGTGTGGCATTGTGGGGCTCCATTGGAAATATCAGCCTGGACAGGGAATCCTCCGCCTGTTGACGCCATTACTGAAATGCAGCCACCTCTGGGAATGAAGCTGTCTTTGGTGCTGTCTCCTCTACTTGTCAGTGACCTGGCTCCAGCCCTCCAGCAGGGGCAGGCGCATGCCAGGTGTTAAGCATGTTCTAAGTATACCTGTGGGATCGAGCCCAGCTTGTGAGACAGGTGTTCCCCTGCCTGGTTTGAGAATCCTGCTTCAGGGCTCTGGGGTTTGGCCTGAGTCCGAGCAGCTCAATTACTGTCAATACTCAGTTCTGCAAGTGGAGAAACTTGGCACAGAGCTGTGACATGAGGTGATGTGACTTGCCAGAGGTCACACAGTCAGTGGCAGAGCTAAGGGCAGAAGCCAGCCTGGCCAGGACCATACCCCCTGCTCCAAGATACCTCCCCTCCTAAGAACAGGAAGTTTGCCCTGATGCCCTTCACCCAAATTTTCCCTTCCTCGCCCTCTTTGTTCAGCGATGTGCACGAATTGGCCGCCACTCTCCACCCCATAGGCAGCTGCATTTCAGCAGTGCTGTACAGAGAGAGACCCAGGGGCCAGATGAGCTTTACTAGCTTGGGCAGCGCTAGTAAAGCTCACCGCGCCAATCGAACGGTGGCTTGCCCGGGCCTGGGCTGCAAACCCCCTTAAGGCGGGGGAGTGAGACAGACCCTGCCAGGCAAAGGGACCCACGTTTCCAGGGGCGCTGAGCCCCCGCACCGGCCTCAGTCTGAGCTGGGCGTGCTCTGACAACAGGCCCTAACTCTCCAGCCATCCTCAAGCTGCCTGGGTCCAAGGGTGCTGTTTCCTAAAAGCCCTCCTGCCCTGGTGGCTCTGCCTTGCTCTCCCGAGGGAGGAGGAGGAGGCCGAGGCCAGCAGGGGAGCTCGAACAGCAGCGAAAGGCCAGAGACTCTCTGACTCCCCTGCCTTTCTCCGCTCCCCCTGGTAGGTGGCTCCCTGCTGTAACCTGGAGTAAGTCTCTCGCCCTGGCCCTGGTGGGAGGGATTTTCACTCTGAACTATTTAAGGAAATTACGCTCGAGCGGAGGAGGCGCAGGCAGGCCAGCGTGCAGCCGCTGCTGCAGCGGGGGGGATCCAGGGGGTACATCGCTGCCGCCGGGACGGGAGGAGACCCCCCCGCTCCTCCCCCACGCAGCGCAGCGCTGCAGACCCGGGGTGAGTCCGCACCGCGGGGCCCGCCCCAGGCCAGTTCCCCCGAGGCCCCGGGCTCGCTGCGTTCCCCCGGCCCGGCTCGGCTCGGCTCGGCCGCGGCCCACGTGGCACGGGAGCTGGGCGAGCGGAGGGGCAGGCCCGCCGGCTCGGATCCCGGGGCTGCTCCAGGGCGGGGTGACCCGGGGGCAGCTCCTCCGCGCCGGGCCTGGAGAGACGAGCCCCGTCCGCTGCAGCAGCCTCCCACCCCCACCCCGGTGCTCCCTGCCTCTCCGCATCAACCAGAACCCCCCCCCCCCCCCACCAAGCTCCCGGGCCCGGTTCCCCGGCTCCCCCATGCACCAGCGGCCCCAGTGCCTCCCAGGCAGCCGGACCTCTGCACGGGCGCCAGCTCCTCCAAGCAGGAGACCCTGGCACGTGGGGAAGGCTTTGGTCCTCGGCTGCTGATGGCAGGGTGATCTTCTCAGGGCCCTGGCCACAGACACCGGCTCGCCTTACACGCAGCAGGTTAAAATCTAGGGAGAGCGAGTTCAGTTCCCCTGGTCAATCTTCCGGATTTGGGGGGAGTCTCCAGGGGTGTGTGTGTGTGTGTGTCAGGAGGCCTGGCTGAGCTTATTTGTAAGGGGAGGTGGGAATCTGGGAACTGCCCACCCCAAAGCTCAAACCGTGGCTTTCCTCCTGGCTCTGTGCATGGTCACTCAGGTCACGCCAGGTGTGTGTGTGCACCCCCATAGTCACGGGGTGTGTGCACACGCAGGCTCGCACATGCGCACACACACCCCCCTCTTCGTGTGGCTTGCATTATGTGAAATCTCAATGCTTGGAGCTCCTCGGATGAAAGGTGATCTGTAGGTGCAAAGTATTATTTCTTAACCATACTGCCACGCCCTGTTTACCTGGGTTTGTGGCTCGTTCCCCTGTCTTTAGAAATCTCTCTACTGTGTTGCTGAATTGAGCATTTAGGCCACGGCTGTTCCGATACCGAGCTGCGTTATGCCAACGTCGACATGAAACCAGCTCAATGAGTGGCGGTTGCTGTATTGGCTGGAGAGCATCTCCTGCGGACGTAGCGCTGTCCTCACGAGCACTTATGCTGGCAAAAATTATATCGCTCAGGATGGTGGGGGTTTTTCCCACCCCCCTAAGCGACAAAGTTTTGCTGACATAAGTGCAGGTGTAGACGTGGCCTTAGAGTCCGTGTTGTGCCCTTCTGCTGAGAAACAGGTGGAGTAGACCAATTCCACTGAGGATTTGCTTTCCCTGAGCCATCTTGCCAGGAGGGTGGGGTGGGGGTAGGCCTGGTTTGTCCTTCCACAGAGCAGGCAGGAGGTTCAGCCTTCTTAGTCCACTGATACCCCAAGATCTGCAGAGAAATTGCCACCCACCTGGGGCCTCCACACTGCTCCCCATTTCTCCCTCTCCCCTGTGGCAGCATGGCTCCCCTGTGCTTGCTGCTGATGCCTGCCTGTGAATGTTTTTGTGAGAAGGGGGCATCACTGCATGGAGGGGGTTGCCGATGGGTTCAGCATTATCTTGCATGGGGCAATCCCTGTGCGCTTGCAGGGGATGGGGTTGGAGGGTAAGCGGGGAAGGATGTTGGAAAGCTGCTGTGAATGGGGACTTACTCCTGGGAGGTTTGGATCCCCACTGTGCCTGGAAATAGAGCAGCATTCCCTCCCATCTCTGGAGGAGTTGTCTTGGCCTCTGGCATTTGCTTCGTGAGCTGAGTTGTGCATCTTCTGGTTGTTACTCTCGTGCCCCAGGGGTCTTTAATGGGCAAGGAGAGGGGGTGTTAAATAAACCTCCTAACCATCTACATAGCCACGTCTTTCTGCTCTGTGTGCTGGAGGGGGGATGAGGGTTGGGCATTGCAGTCATCTTCTGCTCCCTGCATGAGGGTGCCTGAAGGTGCATGTGGGATTTCTGCCTCTGAGGCATGTTCACTTCTGGCTTCCCCAGCTGGGCAGTGCCAGGCTCTCCTGATGAGCAGCCACACCACATGCTGGGGAATGCTGTGTGCGGCTATTCACCGGGGCCAGTTTTCAGACTTGGTGTGTGAATTTAGGCACCTAAATAAAAGCAGCTGGATTCACACTGCTTTAGTAGGGGCTGTGGGTGCCCAGCACCACTGATAGTTAGGCCGTGTATTTAGGGGTCTAAGCATGGACCCAAGTTTGAAAATGTGGGGCCGGATTGAGGAGATAGGGAGGGGGAACCGTCACTGAAAAGGCCCAGTTGTCTGCATCGCTGCAGTGCCCTGAACCTGTTCGTTGTTGTCGCAAGGGACAAAAAGCTTGACTAGCCGTAGCTTTGTCCACAGCTTTGGGGCTGGTGTCTCCAGTGCCGTGTAGTGTTCTGGGGTTGCCTTTCACATGAGGAGGATGTGGTTGGAGCCGGAGTTTATTTCCACCTGCTGGGTCTATCGAAATATGGATCTGTACTTCTCCACCCACGTGGCTCCAGTAATGGGGAGCCCTGTGATGGGCCCTGGGCGTGGGTGGCTGTCGTTACCACTGCACGGGGCGGTACAACATCCTGTGTGCTGTTTACTCTGCAGCTCCCTCTGCTAGTCCAGCTGCCCTCAGGGAGAGTCACTTTTCCCCATGTACTTGTAGTGTAGCCAAGGCCTCTGACTGCAAGTGAAAGAGTGCCTGAGGCCAACCAAGTTACCCTCCAGAAGAGACTGGTTCAAGGGGGTTCAGTGTAATTGCTCCTGTTTGTCTGGCTCCAGCCTGACTCTTACTGTGGTAAGAAGGTAGAACAAATTAGACCTGTCCTGAGAAAGTGCAGTGACTCTTCTGACCGGTGATGGGCGTGGGCACGTAACAAAACAGCATCATGCAAATGCCTCTGGCATGCCAAGTCAGGTGCTTCTTCGGGTGAAGCCCGACTTGGCTGGCCTTTCTGAGAGCTACGTACTGAAACCTTGAACTCTTGGGCCTTGCCTAGGCTGGGATTTTAGCCAGCAGGGTAGCTGCAAGAGTGCAAGCCCCTAGGGCAGACATGGGTCCACTTGGCCAGACCCTGCCCGGACTTACACCCTGTTGTAGGCAGGATTTTGACCAGTAGCAGGGAAGATGTGGTTCCATGTTCTCTGCCCTGGGACTGCTGGCACCGTCTGGGTATACAGGATACTCACTGCTCTCCTGTGCTTGCCTGGTTGGAAACATGGAACTACCCTAGCATGCGAAGAGGCAGCAGATGTATATTTAGCTGACTCTGTCATGCTCCTGCATGCTCATGTGACTAGAGTGCTGGCTGCTGGGGTGGATGCAGAGTGCATTCTTCGGCCTGACAGCTGGAGATGGGGGCCCTGGAGATAGGAGCCAGGCTGCAGGACCCAACCTTTGGCTTTGGGCAGCCAGTTTCATATGACACCAGAGCAGCGTCCCAGGAGGAAGCTGTTGGTTGCTACAGTTGTTCAGTGTCACCTGTGCCCGTGGCACTCTCAGGTGTCCCACATGCTTGTGAAATGTCTGCGTGGATGCCAAGAGGCGGGGACGTCCTTAGGAGGAGGGTTTGTTGTGGGAGCTCACTGGAGACTGGGGCATCTTTCTTCTTTTGGCAGTCAGACACAGGCCTCCAAACACTGACACTCCCTCTTCCTATCAGCCTGAGCAAGGAGGCACGCAGAGAGGGGCCCCAATCCCTGCAGTGAGTCGGGGGCAGATCTGAGCAGTGGATTCTAAAACCACCCCCCCCCACACACACACATTCTCCTCTTTTTACAGTTTAACACCAGTATCTCTGAGTTGTGCTTAAGTGTCTTTGTTTCCCTACATACCTGATGTATTTAATTTCACCTGGAGCAGGGTAAGGCCCGAACATACCAAGGGCAAAATGAACTCCCAGTGCTTCCTCTGTGGACCTGGTACCTTCTCCTAGGCCTGGTCCACGGTACAAAGTTTTGCCAGTGTAGTTATGTTGGGAAAAACGATCATGCCCCCTGCCTGACATAGCTGTGCTGGCAAAAGCCGTAGTGTATGTGCGAAGAGTCCCTATGCCAGCAAAAGAACTTTTGTCAGTAAAAGCTGCATCTCCATTAGAGGGCTTTGCTGGCATTAGCTTTTGGTCACTAGCAACCCAAGCTAGATTTGCAGGCGTTACCAGCACAGCCTTTGTAGTATAGACAAGCCCTTAAAGTGCCGATGTCCCACTGGAATATTGCCGCCCCCTCTGGGAAGGGTTGACACAACCGATTCTTTTCCTGTCCGTAAGAACGCAAGAATGGCTGTAAGGGGGCAGGTCATGGGTCCATCTAGCCCAGTGTCCTGTCTTCGTACAGTGGCTAATGCCAGATGCTTCAGAGGGAATGAACAGAACAGGGCAATTATCAAGTGATCCATCCCCTGTCATCCAGTCCCAGCATCTGGCAGTCAGAGGCTTAGGGACACCTGGAGCGTGGGATTGTGTCCCTGTCCGGGGCAGTGAAATCTGCCACAACTCAAGTCCCCAAAGGAGGGTTTAAATTGTGGCATAGAACCCAGTACTCGTTTTTCCCTCCCTGTGATCAGGGAACAAGTGTGAGTATTTTGTTGCATTGCATCGTAAGTGTCTGTGAAGGGAATTTACTGCTGATGAAAGGTGCGGGGCTGACGGCTCTATTCTATAGGTTCTTACGTTGTCCTCAGCCCCATAGTACGTGAGCCCCTTCCAGTTGTGCCGTGAGGGACATAGCTAACATCTGTCATGTGTGACTGCCCTGATGACTGACACCCTCTGAAATCCCCACAACAGGAACAGTGCAGGCAACAAGATCCCAAACCTGAAGGTGCCTCAGCATTGCCATGCAGGAGCCCCCTGCAGGTTAGAGAGATTCCAATTCAGCTGTCTTGCGCTGGAGTCTGTTGCATCCGATGAAGTGAGCTGTAGCCCACAAAAGCTTATGCTCCAATAAATTGGTTAGTCTCTAAGGTGCCACAGGTCCTCCTTTTCTTTCAGTCTCTCTGGTCCATTGAGGCCATGGTTCCTTGCTGAGATGGTAGCTAATCAGTTACACTTGCGGTATTGAATTTGCGTGTGCGCTATAGCCATTGGACTGACACCTAGCCATTTATTTCCACACAGGCCATAGAACGGGGATCTGCTTTTCGTCATTGGCAACCCAAGCTGGATTCAAGCTGGTGATCAAGGTGAGACTGCCCATAACCTGTTACCATCTCCCTGAGCTATTAGTCTCTGGGTACTTTTTATTTTGTTCACTCTCTATTGCTCTTTAAAATCATGCCAGGGTATTGGAAGCTCTTAAGGCTTCCCTTGAAAAGATTTTTATGTTTCGCAGGAAATTTAGTCCATGAAACCATCTGTTTCTTTCGCTGTAAAGGTGTTTGAAGTCCTTGAATTTACTCTTTGGCCACATTAAATCTAGATTTTAATCCTCTGCGCCCTGAATCAAGTCCTCAGTGGTTTGAATTATGAGCTGTCTTTAGGAATTTACAGCTTGTATTCCTGATTATACGTTGACTTTATTATATTGCCAAGCGTCCAACTTATGGTCATGACTGAAATTTACAGTCTTTAGGTAGGTGCTTAGAATAACTTTTAGCGACCCTGGATGTAATTGGGGGTGATTGATGGGGTGTCAACCTAAATAAACATGTAATCTATAAAATGGTAACTCTCATAAGGCTTTCAAGCAGGGGTAGGAAGGGAAGGGTGAGTGAAAATGAGTTCAGCCTCCGAAAATGCACATCATGGAGCAAGGTTATGACCGTCTGGTTATGGTGTGACTGCACCTCGGATACTACGTCCAGTTCTGGGCACATCACTGCCAGATGGGTAAAGTGGGTGAAGTCGTCCTCCCTGCTCCTGCCTCTTTATGCTGCATAAAAGGGCCAGATTGGCATTGAAAGGTCCTAAAAGTCTGTATCTGGCTGGGGGGAGACTTGCATCAGTGCAGGCCCAGCAGAAATCAGCTTTAAAGGCCTCCTTGCTCGGACTCCCTCACAAGCCCTGCAGCTGGGCATGGGAGGGGGTGTGTTGGGGGCTGCAGAGGTTCTGTGCCGTGCTGTGGCTCATCGGGCGGCCCTGTGAAGAGCCCAGGATTGGAAGGGTGCAAAAGTGGCTTAAAGCCCCAAGATGTTGCCCAGAATCTCACCCTGTCAATGACAGGGAGTTGAGAAGGGCAGGAAGGGTTGACTTGGAGGAAAGGTTAGCAGAGCTCAGTATGTATAGTCTGGCTGCGAGCTCTTAAAAGGAGGCTGTAATGGATTTGCAAACACTTGTCAAAGCTCCAAGAACAGAGGGCAAATCCATGTATAAATCTGAAGAGAGCAGATGCCAGGAAGGGAGAGAAGTTGTCAGGGCTTGTGGGATGGGAGAAGCTGTTTGCGGGTGGTTGGTCGGAAACCTTCCTTAATGGGGGCGGTGTCCCAGGCATCAACTTCCATTGGGGGGGGGGGGTAAATCTTGGCCTGATAGCTGCAAAGGGGAAGACTTCAGCTTGCAAGCCAGTGCAGCACTTGTATACTGAGCTTGCAGGTTGCGCCACTGCCCAAAACTTTGTCAAGTATCCGTAAAGTGAAATTAACCAGGCCCTCCTGCGGCTCCTGCAAGTGAGAACACTATGGACAAGATGGTGGTTAAACTGCTATTTAACCCTGTTCAGAATGGGCCCAGGTGGTCTGAACGCTGGTGGCTTGCAGACAGGACCTGACAATATGTTGCCCTGCTTGGTCTCCATGATTTGTGCTGCTCTTGGTGCAAAGTGACTTTTTTTTGGTTCTGGCAGGTTGACGTACCTTTGTTTTCTTTTCCTCTCTTTGGAGGAGCAGGGTAAGTCCCTAACCCAGGGGGCAATTCCACTCAGCAGCATGACAAGCGAGGTGGTGGAGGATGAGATGGAATTTTATTCCAAGGCTGAGAAATACTGGAAGGACGTGCCGCCCACGGTGGATGGGATGCTGGGTGGGTACGGCCACATCTCCAGCATTGACATCAACAGCTCCAAAAAATTCCTGCTTAAGTTCCTTCGGGTAGGTGGTCTGGATCTGTCTGGGGAGGGGCGGAGGTGTCCTACAGCTTGTCCTTTAACTGTGAGTGGATGTCTAAACACCTGCTGAGTGGCTCTCTCCCTCCCCACAGCTTTCAAAAGCGCTCTAGAGACCTGACCGCTTCTCTTTCCTTTGGCCCCTTGTGTGTGTTGGCTGTCCAGTGTCACGAGGCTGGTTGTCTATGAACGATCTCCTTCAAAGCCTAGCTGGTCATCCACACCCACTGTTAAAGGGGGATTTGTGAGCAGTCCTGATGTCTGGCTAATCACGCCACATGAAGCCAACCCGACTGGGAAATGATCTCCGTTCAAATCCTATAGCAACCAGGTGTTCATGCAGCCCAAACAAGTCTCACTGTGAATGTAGGGGGCAGGGAACTCCCTTGTTGGTGTCTCAGCTGAGAGGCCACCGATAGACTAACCCATGGAGACTGAGCCCCCCACTCCCTATTGGAGTGGATCTCCTCTCTGCCAGGCAACATGAGGGCAGCTTGTAGTGCCCCTGACAGTGCTGTTCTTTGGAGAAAGAGGCCCTCAGGCCCCAGCTGGCATTGCCAAGGACCAGTTCCCAGCACCAATTGCCACGTCCCTCTGTTATAGCTTGTGAGCTTTAGGTTCCTCTTGGCAGAGTTATGTCTCTCCTGTCCCTCATTTTCACTTTCACTTCAGGATGGTCCTAACAGGACGGGAACCACCTGTGCCCTGGACTGTGGGGCTGGGATCGGCAGGATCACCAAGAGGCTGCTGTTGCCTCTCTTCAAAGCAGTGGACATGGTGGATGTGACTGAGGACTTCCTGACCAAGGCGAGGACCTACCTGGGAGAAGAGGGCAGGCGAGTGAGGAACTACTTCTGCTGCGGCCTGCAGGACTTCAGCCCCGAGCCCAACTCTTATGACGTCATCTGGATCCAGTGGGTAATAGGTGAGAGAACCCCTCCCTCTGCCATATGGAAAAGGCCCCTTCAGTTCTGCTGTCCCCAGCCTACTTCTGTTCCCTTGTACGGAAGATATGCCCTGGCTGGTGTGGGATTTACCCAAGGAGGGCGGGTAGAACAGCTTGCCTTACTCCATTAGGTGATGCCATGATCTGCAGAACTGACCCACGTACCTGTCTAGGGGTGGATCAACAGAGCACCAGCTGTTCCCCGCACAGATACAGCAGTACTCTCCCCGTCTGTGCTGCTCCATTCCACCCCCGCAGTTGGAGTAGGTCAGGGAATCTTGCTGGTCCAGTGCTCACGGCTGGTCTGTGTTTCTACATGCTCCCTGCTAACGCTCGTGCGCTTCTCCCCCTTGCCAGGACACCTGACTGACGACCACCTGTCTGACTTCCTGAAGAGATGCAAGGTTGGCCTGCGCCCCAATGGCATCGTTGTCATCAAGGACAACATGGCCCAGGAGGGAGTCATCATGGACGATGTGGACAGCAGCGTGTGCCGGGACCTGGACGTGGTGCGGATGATCGTCCGGCGTGCAGGCCTCAACCTCCTGGCTGAAGAAAGGCAAGAGAACTTCCCTGACGAAATCTACCACGTCTATACATTTGCCATGAGATGAACCCGGGCTGGGAAAGGCTGTTTACCAAAAGGTACCACTGTGCCAGCTCAGAGCAAAGGACCAGCCCAGCAGGCCCTTTCTGGGGGGACCAGGAGGACACCTATCGTGCAGTCCAGACACTTCACGGTTAAAATTCGGGGTGGGGTGGGGTGTCCTGAATAACCCTGCTGGGGTTGGCTGGAAAGATCGGGGCGGGTCTTCTGCGTTGCTGCTATTTGTGAGAAAAGACAGCTGCCAAATACACTCTCCTGCTGTTGCACCTCTGTACACGGACTCTGCCTAAACACCCCCACGCCACCCACCCAGGCTGGCTCTATAGAGAGGAAAAGCCTTGATGCTGCGCCAGGTAGGGGTACGAGAGGCAGAGTAAGAACTCCTGCAACTGCCCTGCCTTGGTGTGTGTGCCTGCCGCCAGACAACGCTGCGTGCGCGATGCCTGAATGCCGCTCAGTTCAGGGCGTGCGGAGGAGGCTGACGCACTAGCTCTCCCTGCTGCAGGGGGTAGAACTCACTAGCTCCTGCTCCAGCTCCCTACTTCGCTGTTCCTAACCCTCCTCTCCTCTGGGTGCCTGAACTGGGGTCGGTTCAGCTAGGCGTTTCTTGCTGCCTTCCCGACACCAGTCTGAGGCAGGAGGTTGTAGGTTCCTGGGACGTGAAATCTGTCACAAAGGCAGAGGGGTAGATGTTCGGGCTCTCTCACAGTGATGGAAAAGGGGTGATTTTGTTTGTTTGTCTGTCTGAAGATCTCTGCCATTTCCTTGGGATGGAGCAGATCTTTCCAAGGGGAGGAAGAAGAGAGGCCCTGGGGCTGTCGTGGGGTTTTATATGGCTGCCCATCACCACTGTATCTTCCATGCAAAATCAGTAGCAATAGCAAAATCGTTAGTGTCTTCATGGAATCTTGGGGACTTTTTCAGAGCAAAAACTTTTTCAAGATTTGATCAAATCCATATTTATCTGTGTGGGGGCGGGTGGTGTAGAGGTTGAGAACTTGTGGGGCCAGTGCTCCCTCCCCAGGGGCACAGCAGAGTTGGGTAATACCCAACCTCAGCCGGGGACAGCTTGCCTGCTGTACCTGTTCGACAGTTGTGAGTCAGAAGGGGGGAGTCAGGCTGCCCACGGCTTGCTGGGGATGTGCTCTCCTGTTCCCTCCCTCCCAGTCCAGGAGAAGGGAAATCTCTCACCCTAAAGGATTTTTAAAATAATGTTGCTGTGGCCAACTACGCATTAAGAGAGACTCCAAATAGAGCCCCGGCACCTCGCCCAGAGTGGGGGTTGTGAGCGTAGGCCAGCCCCTCGCCGTGGTGCCGTTGTATAATTTCGGGCAAGGAAGTATCTGCCACTTCCTGAATGAGCATGTTCCGAGCAAGCACCGACACCTGCCACCCGCTGCAGAATAAAGAGCCTGGCCCAGGGTAGGGCTAGAGCCTGGCTCTGAACTGCTGTGTCCCTCTCGCTCCAGGCGGGCACGCCATGGTACAGGGCGGTTCCAGCATTTCAGAGTGGGAGCCTGCGCCCGGCCTGTCAAACCACCCCCCGCTGTAGCAACTTCCCATCCGTTGCCACTCGTCTCGTGATCGCTGAGCAGCAACCCGAAAGGAAACGCTGACTGGTGGGGTGGGTTTAAGGGCTTGTTTGCACAGTGACTTAGTGCAAATCAGGCTGTGATTCTGGCGCTCGCTAGCTTTCGATCCGCGCCCTGGGTAGCTCACACTTGGCTTCCACCATTTAACAAGGGGCAAGCCTGCAGCGATAGCCCCTTGGACCTGATGCTAAGTCGGCCTGTGTTGTAAAGAGCAACCATGTTACTTAGGCAGGAATTAAGATCCAAAGGGGCACCCTCCCTTATTTCAGAGCCCCTCGTCGGCTAATAAAGAGGGCAGCTAATTTCCAAAGAGGGAGAGAGCAGGCCCGGTGGCTGCCCTGTTTGGGGTAGGGCCATGTACCAGCAGAGTAAGAGTCTTTGGCAGCTGACTTCGCTGCTTGACAGTGTCTTACCACGTGTCGTCTAGTACCTTTTTATCCACAACCTTTACTGAGCTGCAAGCAGCAAGTCCCCCGCTGGCTGGGAGGAGGGAAATATCCCTCTCGTGCAAACAGCATGCCGTTAAGTGATTTGATCAAGTGCCCAGTGCAGAACTGGGAATAAAATCTTGGCGTCCTGCCTGCAGGGCCAGGCTTTGACAATGCGAAGGCTCTTCTCCCCCCCCCAGCTCTGGATAACTTAAATGTTTTCATTCTCTCCGCCCTGTAAACAAATAGCTGAGCCTGACTTCTTTCTTTCAGATTCTGGTTGCAGTCTAGTGTGAATCTGGCATCTCTGTACTGCTGTTAGCATCATTTTGGGTTATGCCAGTTTTATACTCGTTTCATCAAGATCAAAACTGAGTCCTACACTTAGGCCCACTGTCAGAGATGCGTGCAGGCAATCGCTGCCTCGTTTGTGTAATCTCACTGAAAATAAGGAATGAGTCCACGGTGCCTGGCCCATCCGTGTTACCCACTTACTGACAGCGGGGTGACTAGTCTCCCACACACTAAAGAGTGCTGCAGTTAAGTCTTCATCTCCCTACGGGACAGGTAGATCCCACCTGCTGAGCCCCTCTGCCCCAAAGGAAACAAACATCCATTTTCTATTACAACAGGTCATGTTTAATGGCTTGATCTCAGCAAGACACTGACACAGTGTTCCATTTTACACCCATTTGTCAATATGATCGTCAGCTGCTTCTGTGAAGTGTTGGGGGTACGGGTGGAGGGGCGAAGACATCGGGTGGATGGATTCTGGCAGGAAAGTGAATTGCATATTCTTGCCCTGCCATGAGTGTTAACAAATGGGTGGAAGTGATGGCCCGGGAGGAACAGCCTCATGTTGTATCCAGCTGAAACGTTAGCCACAATTACTTGAAGGCTTTTCATGCCTAGCTGGTAATTATAGGCAAATCACAGTGGATTTCCTCACTGGAGACTTTGCTTTTTCTCCCAGGGGGTGAGAATGGCTTAGCAGCTGTTTGGCTTTGGCACTTAGAGAAATTAACACACTGGAAGGAAACCTGCCCTGAGTGGATGGTGCTGTGACTCAGCCTTTCATCTCTGCAGCCCCAGGGCTGAGATCACACCTAGGGTTTAGCAGGGCACAAACCAAAGAAAACGAGAGCCCCAACCCTTTGTTGCCAGGGCTTCGAGTGCTGCAAAGGTTTCAGAGTAACAGCCGTGTTAGTCTGTATTCACGAAAAGGAGTACTTGTGGCACTTTAGAGACTAACCAATTTATTTGAGCATGAGCTTTCGTGAGCTACAGTATGCATCCGATGAAGTGAGCTGTAGCTCACGGAAGCTTATGCTCAAATAAATTGGTTAGTCTCTAAGGTGCCACAAGTACTCCTTTTCTTTTTGCGAGTGCTGCAAAGTGCTCCTTTGGCCAAGGTGCGTGGCCTCCAGGAGGAGGCACCTCCAGCCCAAGACACACGGGGAGGGTCAGTGGAGCCTCAGCTGGAAACAAGCTTAGAGGCTCCTCTGCTCCAGTAGACTTGGCCACCACACCCAAGGCGCAGAGTGGAGAGCTGCACTAAAACCCCCCGAACTGTAGGAGCCGGGCTGAATGTGCCACTAGACTAAGCCAAAAGGACTGCCTGGCCTGGGAATCCACAACCAGGCCCCCTGTTAGCACTGTTCCTACAGTCTCCTCCTTGCCCCTGAGCACATCCTTTCACAAACCCATCATTTCCGGGTGCCACCCTCCACTTGCAATATCAGCAGCTTGCAAAGCCCTGAGCTAGAGTCAGATGCTGCCCCCAGCCCTGCCGCTTCCCTCTCCTTTGTAAAGGTTTCGCTGAGCCCAAGGCCCCCCCCAGATCACCGGGGCACCAGCCTTCGCCCCCACCGCTTGGCAGATGCCTGGGGAAAAGAGAGGGAACGCCAACCTCTCCCTGCTCTTCGTTTAGTCCCGGCAGGTGGTACAACAAGCGGACAAGCTGTTGCGAGAGGAGCGTGACTATGGCCCTTGAAATCCTGGGTGAAGTTAGTTGCTCCTCTGGCATGTGGCCCAGGCTGCCTAGTGCCACGTCTCCTGCTTTCCAAGCATTGGGAGAGCCGAGCCTGCTCCAGGCTCTGCACAGAGGGGTGTGGCAAAAGGCCATCAATCCCTCAGACAGCACCGCCCGCGCTTGGGCCTGGCCCGAGGGGAAACCGCCCGCATAGCTTATCGAGGAGGCGCTCGCTGAACAATTTCTCCAGCAGGTCGTGGTTTCTTCCTGTCCCGGGCTGCACTCCCAGGAGACGGCAGCGTTGGAAGCCGCCATTCGCCTGAGGCACCACTTCAGCCCTTCCTGCACGGTGGGCGGAGAAGGGAGAGGAGGAATGTTTGTTCCTCGGCCTTATTCAAACAAGACGGCACAGTCGCGCAACCTGTGGGGTGCATCGCCTGAATCTCTGCTCCTCAGACTGGGCCCATGATCCCAAATCCAGGCAGGCATTTCTTGTACATCCCTGCAAAGCAGCCTTCTTACCAATGCTCATCGCTCGTAAAGGCACAAAGTCCAGATGACCAGCCCAATCCACTTACCCCTCTGCCCTCCCACCCCAAATCACACTTCATGGGGATTCAGGTAACATGCTATTGAGGGTATCCCTTCCCAGAGAAGCCAGGCCCCGGTATTTGTGGACAGCGTGGTGTGATCAAACAAAGCACTGGCTGGCAGTGGAGGAAGCTGATCTGGACCATAAGGAACCTCTTGCTCTTCCAGGTGGGGAAACCAAGTCACTGGAGTGTTTGGGGGAGGGACTGGAGTGAGGATTCCAGGTCTGCCCCCTGCCTGGCTCAGATGTCCTCCTCACCAGCACTGCCGTGGTCTATGAGGAGATACCACTTTAGCCTGTCGGGAAGCGGAAGGGCCTTGATCTTCACATCCACTGGCCACGGTTTGAGGCGCTGCCGGATATACACCCTGCAGAGATGTTTCAGGGCCTGTGGCGCGTGCTGTAGCTGCTTCAGGGAGTAGAAAAGGGCCTTGATCTTCTCCCCATGGAACCTGCAGCTGGTGGAGCTGATGTCAAAGTTGCTGGGCAGTTTGGGGATCTGCGAGCTGGCCACCATGAGCTCTAGGACCGTTTCTGCTTTTTGCAGGAGGTCAGCGGAGAAGCTGTCGTCTTCCGAGCTGCTGAGGTGGGAGCACAGTCTCTCAAAGACCACGTGAAAGCCCGACCAGCATGAGGGGCCATGGAGGGAGCAGTTGTAGGAGGCCCCCGACTCCAGCAGGAAGCGTAGGAGCAGGAAGTGGAGCTTGAAGCTCTTGAGGCAGATGTGGGTGAGGGACTCACGGGCTGGGCACTCACTGGGGTCAGCGCCGTGGGCCATCAGCAGCTGGGTGACCCGGAAACAGAAGCGGTTGATCATTCGCGCCTCCTCTTTGTCCCCGCCCACCGTCTCGGCAAGCAGGAAGATGACGCAGGTGAAGACAGTGTCGCCATCTTTCGTGGTGGCCTTCACGTCTGCTCCTGAAGCCAGAGACAAAAGGGGGAGCCACAGTCAGACGCCGCAATGGACACCGACTGCCTGGAACGGGGGGCTGACACCGAATGGCAGGTGCAGGTATGTGTCGCATCCCAGCACGTGGTACCTCTCCTCTGAACTGCAGCCCCAAGCCCCTGATCATTGTCACCCACCTCCAGCCCTCTTCTGCCTGCCATTTAGGGAGTAGATGGGGCTTTGATGGAGCGCACAGTAGCGACTGTTTCACCTGGAGAGACAGAATCTCTCTGTACCAACCTGTGTTGCCAGTTAAAACAATCTTCACAGAGGCCGTTATTTGTTTGTATTGTGGTAGCACCTAGGAACCCCTGGCATAGACCATGGTGCTAGGTGCTGTACAAACACAGAACAGACGGGCCCTGCCCAAAAGAACGCTTGGTCTTTACCGGGAAATGAGCCGACAGCTGCTCGGCTGCCCTCACCTCCTTCCAACAGGAGCCGGATGTTTTCAGTGTTGTGGATCTGAACTCCATCGCTGCTGGCCAAGGCATGCAGTAAGGCTGTCTTTCCTGTGGATAAGAGTATAAACCGGGGAGTGGGAGCATTACGTCAGAGTGACTTCTAGGAAGGGTCGCTTTTGGGCCTGTCCCGTCCACGAACCATGACAGTATGGAGGGGACACTCTGCATATAGCTCTGAAAAATAATGAACCCCCTTAATGAGGTATTCAAATCGCACAAGGATGCAGCAGAGGAAGCATACACAGCCTTGGGGATAGGGCTGCCAACTATCTAATCACACAAACTCAAACATCCTGGCCCCGCCCTGCTCACTCCATCCGCTCTCCCCTATCCTCACTCACTTTCATCAGGCAGGGGCCAAGAGGTTCGGAGTATGGGAGGGGGCTCTGGGCTGAGCCTGGGGTAGGGATCCAGGTGCAAGCTCTGGGAGGGGGCTCATGGCTGGGGCAGGGGGTTGGAAGGGGGTGAGGGATGCGGGCTCTGGCCAGGAGGTGCTTACCTCGGGCCACCCCCAGTCAGTGGTGGAGCAGTGCGAAGGCAGGCTTTCTGCCCGTCCTGGCCCCGTGCCGCTTCCGGAAGTGACTGGCACGTCCCTGGGGAGAATGGGAGGGGGTCACTACGTGCTGCCCCCGCCCTCCCCCGGGAGCCACAGAGACATGCCAGCCGCTTCCAGGAGCAGCACGGGGCCAGTGCAGGCAGAGAGCCTGCCTTCGCACTGCTGGACTTCTAGCAGCGTAAAATCTCCCAGTTTGGCTTCAGTGGCCTCCAGGAGATAAAGGCCGATTCCAGGAGATGCCCGGTGAAACTGGGAGGCTTGGCAACCCCACTTGGGGCTACTGCGTGTTTGCACAATACTGCTTTAGAGTCACCAGAGGGAGCACCAGACATTGTGACTCTTCCATTAGCCCCTGAGCATACCAGGGCAACTGCAAGCATGTCACAGCACAGACTGAGTGTGATCTCCCCGACTGGTGTAGGCAGGAATTAAGCGTCCTAGCCAGAAGTGCCAGGTAGTCAGAGCACGGCTACACTGCTAAAGCATGTTCGACTGTGGTTAAATCCCTGCTTGTCCTAGAAATACCAATAGCCCATTTGCCCCTGAACCCTGGTCAGGTTTGAAGGTCTTAACCTGGATCTGAATTTCCATAGGTGGTTCCTGCTTCTAAAATGGGCTAAACACTGGGCAACTCAGAAATCCAGAACCAAATTAACAGCCTAGATAAAAGAACCCAGGTGTCCTGCCTCCCAGTCCCCTGCTCTAACTAGGCCGTGCTGTCTGCCCATTCTCTTTGCTACGCATACCAATGGTTGCTTTCTGTGAGAACCAAGTGCCCCAGGAGTTAGGGTGGGGCAGGGGGCCAGAGGGAAATTCACTCCCTGTATGATGGAAAGGGGCACAGACCATTTTTGTCAGCCGCATTGACATCGGCACCGAGTTCCAGGAGACGCTGCAAACATGGCAGCCGCTCGGGCTCCTCACTGGCAAGATCCAGGGGGCTGCTCTCGTGAATCTGAGGGGAGGAAAGGCAACAGCAACTGGAAAAAGCCCATGATCTTCCGCTTTAGCACTTCGCGGTGGAGGCTGATCATACAGAACAATCCACAGTCAGACAATGGGGTGAAAAGCAGGGCTCGTACGGCCGGAAGGGAAGAGCGTAAGTTAGTCCCTTCAGCATTAGCGCTATGGGGCAAGGCAAGCAAAGGACTGTCTGCAGCCTGTGCAAACTACAAGTCCCAGCATGCAATGCTCCACCGGGACCTGAGCAGCCCAACACGTTAAAGATAAAGGGAGATGAGTTAAGCAGGCATCACTCTGGCAGAGCAATTCACAGGCCTAGATCTCCCAGGAGGCGTTATCAGTACCATAAACCTAGGAGAGGTCAGATCCTTTAGCCCTGTGTCTAAGGTGGGTGCTTTCCATACCCGATCTCTCCGGTTAATGTCCGCCCCACGGTGCACAAGCAGCTCCACCATGTCCGGCTGGTTTCGGAGAACAGCGATGTGCAGAGCTGTGTAATAGGTGACAGGATCTAGGGCCAGAACCGAATGACAAATCAGGGAGTTTCAGAACTAAAGACGCCCTCCAAAAATATGAAACGGTCCAAGATAAAGTAGAATAACCCAAAGCAGCTGGGTTCAGAGAGTCCAGCTCCCCAGACGGGGCTAAGAGCGTGGGAAGGGGATGGGATCCTGCTTGGCTTGGAGGAATTACAAGGAGGGCTGGCCTGAAGCAAAGCAATTGACTGCCCAGGCTCTGCTGTTGTGGGGGCCTCGTCTCTAGGACAATGAACAAGCTGGCCCTAAGCCCCCAGCAGCCGGATCAGAAGAGCCAACTCCATCCCAGCCCCTTTCTGGCAGGCTGCAGCCCTGCTTTTGTGACAGTGGGGCAGCCCGCAGTCCCTACATGCTCTGCGACCCACAGGCGGGCCCCAACCGCCTCCCTGACAGCAATGGACGGACAAGAGACTCACCGCTTGTCACTGCTACCCTGCTGCATCTGGGCCTGCAAGGGAAGCAATTCATGGCCCAATACCCCCATCCCCACCCCCTTCCCAACAGCTGGATGCTCCACAGATCACGGAGCCGGCTCCGTTTAAACCCAGACACCCTGCAGGAGCCCGGCCAGGATTCCAGGTGTGATGTCACAAACGCCCAGTCACTGCCAGGGCGGGAGGGTTTCTCTGACACGGGCTGAACAGAAGAGTCAGTGTTGGTTTCTGCAGCTTTTTAAACCCTTCACCCTATTAAACAGGCCCATGCGCTGATGCACAAGGCTAATTCAAGGAGCGTTGCTGAGAGAGGCCGGATGTACAGCCCTGAAGTTCTCTAGCCATCCACAGCCCAGGGATAGCGTTGCCATGGTTAGGGCAAGCTAGTCGGCACAGACCAGCCAGCATGTCTCAATCCTGAGCTGAAGGGGTGGTTTAATCCCGGGGGCTCGCATCCTTGTGCTCGCTGCTGGGACTGGCAACACGGGGGTCTGTTGTGGCCACTAAACTGGCTTGAACCCCACCTTGCTCTATTCAACAAGCAGCCAGCAGTCGGTAACAGCTTTTCGTTGCTGTTGGTGGATTTGAACCGTGAACCTAAAGGCGAGGGGCACAGGGATTGCCAGACAAACCACTGCACTAGCCCGTCGCCTGCCCCACGAGTTGACACCACTTGGATTTTACCATCAGACTCTGGCCTAATATGTTCCTGTTTCCCTGGAACCAAGCTGGTGCTTGCGCCCTGGGAAGCCAGCACATTCCGACTTATGATTTAAACCTAAAGGCACTCACCAGCTTCCTGCGATGCCCAGAACATAAGCATAATGCATTTCCAAGTTGGCTCAGAGAAAAGCACCAAGGAACGGTGGAAGAGACCAGGCCCAGTGCCAGCAATTGCATTTTCATTAACGTTAATTAAAAAAAAGGCAACACAGCATCCTCTCCCTGGCTTGAGTTCAGAGAAAAGAAAAAAAATCAATCCATTGTGAGGGATAGGGGCATGGAAGGTCTTAGGAGACAGATTGCAAAGGACCAATTTTATTACCCACTGAAGGGGGTTTGGAGGGGAAAGTGGAATATCCTGTGATCCTACCCAGCTCACTGATCTTCCCCCTGATGGAAGGGGGTTGGGCGTTGGCTTCTTCCAAAACCCATAACACATCGAACACTGCTCCACGCATTAGACAGGTTAACTTGGGAATGACCAACCCAATGAGGAAGGGGCAGGGCTTGGGACCTCAATTCAGATCCAGGACACCTCGTCGTGGCTCCAATCCACCGGCCAGCCCACAAATGGACCTTCCCTCCCTCTCTGCCGCCTGCAAAGCCTGTTTGCATCAGGAACAGGGGTGCGCTTAGAACACATCATCTCCCCCAGATTTACCTTCAAAGATAAGATTGGCCCCATTCTGCAGGAGGATTTCAGCTGCATTCACCAGCCCAAGTTCAGCTACCTTCAGCAAGGAGTAGCTCACTCCTTCTTGGTAGAATGCGGAGTGGGTCTCTCTCTCCAACAGCTTGTTGAGGACCAAGAATTTGCTGCTGTCTTCAGCTAGGCAGCTGGGGCTTGAGACACAGAAAAATGGCCCATTGTTAGAGCTCCATGCATTTCTCCTGGAATGTGCATTGGAAAAGGAAATGAGGGAGGCCTAAAATTGACAATGATATTATCTGCACGTAGGGCCTGATCCATGCTGATTGAAATCAACGGAAAGACGCCCACCAGTGTTTGGATCAGGCGCTGAGACAGCACCTTTCCTCAGAGGATCTCCAAGTATGTTGCTAGGGTAGGAAAGTCTCAACTCCACTTTGCAGAGGAGAAAAAAATAATAATCGAGGCACAGAGAGCATGAGGGACTTGCCTATAACCACATGGCACATCTGAGGGCGTGCTAGGAACAGGGCCCCGCACACCAACCTCTCAGACCTGCACTGAGCAGGCTAGATGACTCTCCCTTCTCACCAGGGTTGCAAGGAGCACAGCTGCGATCGAGGTGCCCAAGATATTTTGACTTTAGATGGGATTTAGGCACTTGACTCTGTTGGGCTCTTTCACAAAGCCCAGCCCAATAACCATCTCTGCAGGTGTCTTGCCCTCCTTCGTTCCAGTCTTGTGTTGTGGGAGCCAGCCGCACCTCGGTGCATTGCACCCTGCTTTCGCTGCTGCTCTCGTTTTAGGGTCTGACTGCCGTGGGATGTTTTGTTGTGCTCAGAATTAAGTGTCAGCTGCCTGAGAGAACTCCACTTAGTTCCTATCGCAAGAGTTTGCTCCAGGACAACAGACTCTAACAGGGAAGGGCTCTCTAAAGGGTTAAACAGCTCCTTTCTGCAGGTTTTGGGGAATACCGTAATCTGCCTTTTAACCCCTGTGTAAACAGTTGGCTCCACTATTAAAGGGCTCCCCAAATCTTCTTGGCACCCACATCCATCCAACGTTAGCATCCAGCTTTCCTACAGCAAAGGCCTCTGATTGTACAGTCAGTGATTCAAGGATAGCACACCAGTTAGCCCACTGGTGGAGACTTAGGACACCTGGGGTCTTGTCCCAGCTCTGCCACTGGACCTGCCAGGTGACCTTGGGCAAGTCATTTTACCTCCCTGCTTCCTCGTCCACTTCTTGTATGTTGTCTATTTAGACTGTAAACTCACTGGGGCAGGGACCACCTTTTACAACATGCCTATACAACAGTGGGACCCTGATTTCAGGTATGACCTCCACATGCTACTGTAATAACAATAACTTAGAGTGTTAATTAGATACCACACAGCTATTCAGAGGAACTTCTGTGGAGAGAAGCTTAGAGTAACCCACAACCACTTATTTAATCCTTCATTCAGTTACTTAAAAAATAAACTAAGTCACAGAGTAAAGGCCACCAGAGTTTTGAAATTTGTTACCTCTCTAGAGTTTCCTGCTTCTCAGGATCCTGTATCCCCAGACATCCCAAGATCTCATCTACCAATGGCTGATACTCAAAAATGATCCTGCGGAAGCCATGCAAGAAAGGCATTGTGCTCTTCTATTCAAAGATCATCCAGAATATCCTTTTGGCTCAAGCACAAGAGATGGATTCTTCTTTTCTCCCTGAAATCAGACGGACGTTCAAACAGGGATCAGTTACAGGTTTCTGGAAGGAGACCATCAGATACAGTGCTGGGCAAAAAATGAGGATTTGGTGACACCAAAACATTTAGCAAATTTGTGTTGGTTTCATCCGATTGTTTTGGGTTGGAAAAAAAACATTAAACAATTCTGGAAAAAATCAAAACTTTCATTTCAATGTTTTTAAAATGTTTTGATTTTTCAGTTTGAAACAACTTTGTGTTTCAAAATGTCCTTTGATTTTATTCAAAACAATGTTTCAGTTTTATCGAAACAAAATGATCTGTTTGACCTGAAACAAATTTATTTTACTTTTCAATTTGCTGAAAATGTTTCCAGTTTGACCCAACACAATTTAAAAAAAACAAACTGCCAGTGAACTGAAAAATCTTTTATTCACACAAAACTAGCGAGAAGGTCTCACTAAGGGGAGACTAGGAGAAATAAGGGGAGCTGAGGGTTAACCATGACCATCTAACATGGTTTTAAACACGAGTTGTCCTGTCTGCGCTAGGACCACAGCCCTGTTTAAAATTCAAATTAGTTAAAACACATTGACTAATATTTTTCCTAGTTTAGATGTGGCCTAATTTTAATCAATAGGATAGTTAGAAACAATGATCAGGGAGTCTTGGTTCTGTTTCTTAAGAAGGATTCTCAACACCCGCTATAAACAGAAACACTCCATAGGTGTTTTAAAAAACCATTAACTACACTGAACTTAAAAGATCATAATGGTGCAAACAATACACTTTTTGCTGTGTTACTAGTAACACATGAGGTGCTCTGATGTCATAGTGACGAGCAGGATTTTAGAACCTAAACAGAGTAAGATTATTAAAAATGAAAGGATTGTAAGGATCTTATTTCAGTCATCACTATTTAGTTCCTTTGTTTACTTTTTGCATTTCTCCCAGTGTAGACAATGGGAATCAACACAGTCACCTCTACTGTTGTTTAGTCAATTTCACTTTCAGGTTCTCTGTGTGGCAGAGTGGGAATCTCTGCAGAGAAATATCTAGTTGTTTAGAAGCACCTGTTTTCACTGGATTTTTTCCCTTTTAATTTGTACAAGCCATGCTGGTCTTAGATTTTTAGAAAAGCTGGAGGGCTTCCCCCACGCCTTACACATTTTAAAAATTTGGGCCCCTATCTAGGTCGTGCCCCTTTAAATTCAAAATTTTTTTTAATTAAAAAACATTCCCTGAGTTGTTTCATGCGTTAATACAGAAGAACCAAATCATTAAAGCAGCTAGTCCATTTTCACTGTCCAAATACAAAATGTAAAAATAACCAAAACCATAGACAGAAGTAAATTAGATTTTTTTTCAGTTTCAATCATTTTAAGTGTCAGTAGTAACCAGAGGAAGGAACTTCTCGCTCAGGTTCTTCGCAATATGATTTTAGCCTGACAGTGCGTTGCTTTCAGCAAAGATTTAATTTCTGACTCTTCTACTGCTATGGCCCTGACCCTACTAAGACCTAGGCATGTGCTTAACTTTAAGCATTGCAAGTAATTCCATTGACTATTCACAGTGCATAAAGCACAGACAAAAATCTTCGGAGTATTGGGGTGTAATACTGTAAGTTCTTTAGGACAGGGGCTATCTTTTGTGTGTGTGTCTGTTCAAGGCCTGGCACATTGGGGCCCTGATCCTGACTGGAGCCTCTGATTGCCACCACAATAAAAATAATAAATGAATACCACCACCTGCGGGAATAACAAAACATCAAGATACCCCAAGGTTACCGCAGCAGTCACACGGTGCTTAATTCACCTGAAGCAAATGATGAACTTGTAAGAGCGGAATCAAGCAGTTAACACCTCCCTCCACTTGAAACAGGACCAGGCACAGCCAAAGGCTAAGGGCACGCAGCTGGCTGGGAAATTTCACAAATATACTATAAACAAGCAACGCTGTTTACATGGATGCACGCACACATATGTATGTTTCCCAACCAGCTCAACCCAATCATGAGTCCTCACACAGTGGGTCCCAGGGTACGGGCCAGGTGACTCAGTGACCACTTGCCATTGGTAGGGGCATGCACTTCTTTCTGGAGGCAGGGTGGCTCTCTGTGGGATCTCTCACTGCAAGAAGCAGCTTGCCTTTATTAAGTGGTCAGGGCTACCAGCAGCACCTTCCACAGTGGCAGCTACCAGGCATTGCAATAGGGGATGTGACCATCACACCACAAAGCCAGTCATGCCCCTGCCAAGTACCAGACATTGCAGTCAGCAACAGCATGCACCTGTCTACCATTGCACACTGCTGCACCCACACACGCCCGCCATTGCACACTGCTGCACCCACACATGCTATGTGCGCACACACACGCCCGCCATTGCACACTGCTGCACCCGCACATGCTATGTGCACACCCACACGCCTGCCATTGCACACGGCTGCACCCGCACATGCTATATGCACACCCACACGCCCGCCATTGCACGCTGCTGCACCCGCACATGCTATGTGCACACCCACACGCCCGCCATTGCACACGGCTGCACCCACACATGCTATGTGCGCACACACACGCCCACCATTGCACACTGCTGCACCCACACATGCTATTGCACACCCACACCCGCCATTGCACACTGCTGCACCCACACACGCCCGCCATTGCACAGGTGCACCCAGACATGCTATGCACACACCCCACCATTGACACTGCTGCACCCACACATGCTATGGGCACACGCCACCATTGCACGCTGCTGCACCACATCATGGGACACACGCCCACCATTGCACACTGCTGCACCCACACATGCTATGGCGCACACACGCCCGCCATTGCACACTGCTGCACCCACACATGCCATGTGCGCACACACACGCCCACCATTGCACACGGCTGCACCCACACATGCTATGTGCACACACACGCCCGCCATTGCACACTGCTGTGCACACACCAGCCTGCCATTGTACGGTGCCGCACCCACACACGCCCGCCATTGCACGCTGCTGCACCCACACATGCTATGTGCACACCCACACGCCCGCCATTGCACACTGCTGCACCCACACATGCTATGTGCACACCCACATGCCCGCCATTGCACACTGCTGCACCCACACATGCTATGTGCACACCCACACGCCCGCCATTGCACACTGCTGCACCCACACACGCCCGCCATTGCACACGGCTGCACCCAGACATGCTATGCGCGCACACACGCCCACCATTGCACACTGCTGCACCCACACATGCTATGCGCGCACACACGCCCACCATTGCACACTGCTGCACCCACACATGCTATGCGCGCACACACGCCCACCATTGCACACTGCTGCACCCACACATGCTATGCGCGCACACACGCCCACCATTGCACACTGCTGCACCCACACATGCTATGCGCGCACACACGCCCGCCATTGCACACTGCTGTGCACACACCAGCCTGCCATTGTACGGTGCCGCACCCACACACGCCCGCCATTGCACGCTGCTGCACACACACGTGTATGCCATTGCACGCTGCTGCACCAGAGAGGGCCAAGAGTCCTGCCTAAACCCGAAGTAGGGCCTGAGAACCGCCGCCCGCTCCTCCGGGGGGGGGCAGGCAGGGCTAAGTTCCCTTCCCCTGCGCCACTTCCCCCTTAGTGCCCGGGGCCGGGCAGTCAGCCTCCCCCGCCCCGTGCTGGGTTGCCCGCGCCAGCCTGGGCCCGGGGCACGCGCTCCTACCTGCCCGGGGACCCTCCTGGCGGGCGGCGCACGGGAAACGGAAACCGCCTCCGCAGACTGCAGCTCACCGTCCCTCTAGCGGCCGAAGGCGGGTGCTGCAGGACGGCTGGCTCAGCAGAGGGCAGCCGCCTACAGGGAAAGGGGAGCCAGGCAATCTCTGCACGTTGCAACCTGGGCTGGCCGCAGGGCACGTGCTTTGCAGGGGCTCCTTCTCCCCTGACGGCACCCTCCCCCCACTGTAGCTCGGGGGCTGGGTATGTCACCCCCCCACCCCCAGCCCCAAAGCCTGAAGGCCATCAGCGATGGCAATGGTCCAGGCTTGCGTCCTGCACTGTCAGGCAGGCTAAATGCCCGTCCTCAAACTTGGTCCGGCTCGGGGTTCACGCGAAAGGTTTGCAAATGTAGCCACAACCCTTTGGGCCAAAATTCAGCGCCCCCCCGCCAAGCGTGGCACACAGTGCAAGCGTGCACCTTAAGTCTGTGCACGGCTAACCCATGCGGACAACTTGCCCATCTGCTGTTAACCAGCGTTTAAAGTACCTAACAGGGCCAGCTCGGCTTGCCACGGGCTAGTGCGCAAAAAAAGAAATTACGTGGGTGTGTGAGCTTCAGGGCCAGGCATTGCATTTTTAAAAGTACTTTTTTTACCTTTTGGGATCACAGCTCCAGACAAATGGAACACACACTCTGTCCCATTAACAGCACCAGCCTAACTGATTGCTCAGCTTTTGTTGTACGTGATGGCCCTTACTGGCCCATTACTGTATCATGGCCCTAGAGGATGCAAGGTGTTCTATATTTCAGTAACAAAAGGCACATGAAGTTTCATACGCTGTGATACAAATGTTTGATTATTTTTGGACCATCGCTGGCCTGGTCCCATCAATAGAACACTGTGGGGTGCTCTACCTTAGCAAGAAGCTTTGTCTTGCATAGTTCATGTCCTGGTCCTTTGTTTCCTTGGAATGCAGGTCCACCTGGCGTGACTGATATTTTTGACACGTATCTAAGGGAGCCCTTGCCAATGGAAAAAAACCTGAAATGGTGACTGTTTGGTATTGTTTGCTGGCCTTTGAAAAAAGCCCATCCAAAGTGTCCTGTATCATATTGGTCGTCTATGCTTCTGAACCCTTCCCTGGGGCCTGTCCCTTGACACGGTGGGAAGGCTTATGTGGCCCAATGACCCCCATGAGCTGTAATTTATGGAACTTAACAACATAGAGGACATGCCAGCAGCAACCCAGGCTAGGTAGCAATGTTCCCTCTAATTTTTGACGGGCCGTGTGCACAAAAAATGTCTTCTGTGCAAATGTTTGTGCGTGTGGTATTTCACCATGTGCGTGGGGTGTAGGATCACGCGCACAGCTTAGAGGGAACAGTGCTAGGCAGAGATGGTAGCACCTTTTCGTGCCCTAAGCATCGTCTGATGGTGCAGGAAGGTTTTGGATTCAGAGGCCTCTGAACAACACAGGGGGTTGTCTGTATGCCTGCTTGGCTCCTTGGGCGAGTCATGAAGCAAGGTTTGTTTTTTTGTGAGATGCTCCTGGAGAGCAAACACTTTAAATAAACATATACTTCACATAAGCTATGTGCCACTTAGAAACTTTGGTGATAGCTGCCTTAGAAATACCCAAGATACCAAGATAAATAAGATAAGAAAACTACTTAAGTTATTGCAACTGCAACAACCATAAACCAAACTAAGGTACTGCTTATTTAGTTTTTACAGCTCACTCAGTTGGACAGTGAAAATAGGCAGGTCATTTTCTTTTTTGTTATGGTCAATAGCTCTTTTGGGTTCTCCAAGGCTAGGACAATATCACCACTTGGATTTACAAAACCCAAAGGATTAGTCACGTTTTAAAAATGGCAGGTTTCAGATTAACAGCCATGTTAGTCTGTATTCGCAAAAAGAAAAGGAGTACTTGTGGCACCTTAGAGACTAACCAATTTATTTGAGGGCAAATAAATTGGTTAGTCTCTAAGGTGCCACAAGTACTCCTTTTCATTTTAAAAATGGTTTTCAGTGATTTGTTTTTTCATGTGTAACCATTTCTGCTGCTATGAGGTTTTGCAAAACCCCTTTTATTTGACACAGAGAGAAACCTAGTCTAAGCAAAAGAGGGTGAGCCCAGCAGTCCAGCATTCTAATCCCATCTTTGACACGGGCTCCGTCTGTCACAGAACAAATCTTATCGGGTGAAATTCTGGCCCCACTGATGTCAATGGGCATTTTGCCATTGACATCAATGGGGCCAAAATTTCACTCTTAGGCTCTCAGCCTTGCTCTCCCCACTTGTAAGTAGGGGAAAGCTCTTGTAATTACATCATGCCCCTTATAGCTCCCACCAAGTGACCCTCACAGAAGCTGCAGCATCCCATTCGGTCCTCGAAGACTGGTGCAGTCTCTTGGGACCTGAGGCAAGGGTGGGCTAAGAAGGGTTAGCTTTTAATCAGTAACCTTTGATTTCACCAGTCCATTAGTCACACTGCTTTAGTCAGAGAGATAATCTGTCTACCAAAAATCAAACTTCACAGCTAGGCAAAGTAAGAAAAAAGCTGCTTGACAACTTCTTATTAGCATTTGAGTTAAGGATTTTTTTCACTTTGTACATTTTGCTGTGATGCTCACAATTTGTGTGCACAATGGTTTAACTTTTTGAATCGCAGCGCGTTTACTGTCATTAACTAATTACTGTCTGACCCTCGTTGTCTGATCCCCATCCCCATCATTTCATGCAAGCGTGGAAATTTAAATAGCTAAACATAGACAAAAATGCTTAAAATACACATCAATATGATTGATTGAAATTATACCCAACAAACTGGCTTCTGCCACGTCTCGATATAAAGCATCGTGCACTCTGCTCTGGGGACACTGAAACCAGAGTTACGGATCTGCTTTTTCACAGGGGCTCCAGGCTAGCCCTTTGCCCATGTTAATCCTGTCACCCTCTGCCTTGTATCAGAGTCAGAAGTACAGTACATGTGGCATGGCACATGCAGTCCTAGGGGAGAAACAGAGCAAAGATTCAGAGGCAGAGCTGGGCACTTCCCCCGCCCCAAATAGGGCAGATTCAGTGACATTTTGCAAATTTGTGTCATTTCCACTGAATTGTTTTAGTCAAAACCAAACAAACAAACAAAAAACCCAACCCGAATAGCCTCCCCCCTGCAACATTCCAACGATCAAAACCTTTAGATTTTCCAATTGAAAATGACTTTTTGTTTCAAAAAACCCTTTAATTTTACATTTAAAAAAAATAAGATGTTTTATGATGCTCAAAACTCAACCGGAAATATTTTGTTTCAACTGAGACAATTTTTTTCGACTTTTCAGTTCACCAAAAAAATTTTTTAAAAGTTGTTTTCCATTCAGTCCAAAACCTTTTCGTGCCCCCTCCCCCGCCCCCCAAATGGCCAGCAAACCGAAGAGTCCATTAGTCACACTGCTTTAGTCAGAGGGATAATGTAGGTCCTTCCAGGGCCCACATCATTGTAGGGCCTGAGCCCCATATGCCAGACACTGATGAAGCAAAAGATTTTTTAACAGGGGCAAGGCCAATGGCTAGTCACCACGACCAGGGGGCTCTTCCTCTCTGCACTGGTGCTGGCCCAATTTTGAAACTGAGGCAGCGGGACTTACCTTTGATAACTGCCACTCCGCAGGTCACAATGTCAGGCTCCTGTCTTTAGAAATTCATCTGCCTGTTAACCTTTCTGTTAATAAAAAATGACTTGTTTACTACCCAGCTCCATCAGCTGCTAGTTAATACCCCGCTTCTCAGAGCTTCGGCCTGCTTTATGAGTATTCCGCTCCTCCCTCACCCACCCCGTTGTTTTTTCGCCATGGACATTGTATCATCCTGCTGGTCTCTTGATGCATGGTGCAGTTTGGTTTGCAGGCTGGCTTTCCCAGGGCTGTATTACTGCTGGGGGGGGGGGGGGGCTGTGTTTCTTAGGGCCATGATCACAGTGGGGGGCTGGGGGAGTAGTGATGGGGGTCCTTCGTATTTTCTGAGCTATGGCCATACTCGTGAAGGGATGGAGGCACCCAGGGCCCTGCGATTCCTCGGGGCCATGAATCTGACCTGCAGCTGGAAAAAGCCGTGTCTGGTTCCCAGATCTGTACGTGGCCCATGCCCACTGTGGAGGGGGTGTGATCAGAAGCGTGTCTGAGTGGGGAATGAAGAGTGAATTTTTGGCCGCAAGCATCTCAGCTCTGAGGAGACAGTGTGCTGCGTGCTGAAGCCATCTCTGCAGGGAGCGGAAGGAGGGAGGCCGAGAGTTGGAGAGGAGCAGGGTTGCATGGAGAGTCTGTGAAGACAATCCTGGGGTAGGGAGCAGCCTTTCCTGCAGTGTATGGCAGGAACAAATTCTCTACCTTCCATAGCCAAGGATTTTCTCCAGCGCCCTTCACTGTACTGTGTAAACACGATAGGATCCAAGACAGAGTCATTGCTTAGAGGGGTGAAGCCTGGGCTTCCTAGCTCTAAGAACTTGATCGTCCTCTCTTGTAGACAAGGAATGAAGCCACAAAAATCCAGGGATTTACACTAGTGCAAGTGAGAGGAGACTCCGGCCTTTAAGTTTTAGTAAAGCCCCCAAGTCAGCTGTGAAGCTGAGACTTTCCCAGCTCCTTCTACCCCTGTATTCTGGCCAGCTGTTAGATGTTTGCCATGATCTCCTTGTAGGCCATGCAAAACCAAAGGCAAAGGGAACTCCGGCCAGGTGCCACTCACATGCAGCCAGCACGTCCCAGCCTTTCCGAGTGTCTGCCTTTCCGCTCGTGATCCAGGAGCATGACAGCACTTTGAAACATTTCCTTGAGCCTCGGTTGGGAAGTGCTGAGGGCATCACAGCTGGGTGTTTGCTAGCCCCCTAGGGAGAAAATGAACCCTGACAACTACCCCACCTTGATGGGTAGGTCAGAACCCTGCGTTCAGAAAGCTGTGAGGCCAAGCCAGTAAGCCACAGGCTGGCTTCCGCTCTGTCACCAATTAATTAGCAGTTTGTAATCTGGGGAAGAGGCGCACTCCCTTGCCACTATTCCTGCCCTGGAATGGGTGTGAAACTC